TGTGTGTGTGTGTGTGTGTGTGTATGTGTGTGTGTGTGTTTTTTTTTTCTGTACATATGCAGAGATGCTATCCTTGTAACATTAATTCAAGATTACTGAGAGAGAGAGAGAGAGAGAGAGAGAGAGAGAGAGGGGAGAGAGAGAGAGAAAGAGAGAGTGTGTGTGGGGGGAGATAGAGAGTGAGAGAGCTAGAGAGAGGGGGGGGGAAGGGGAGCCATAATGAACACAACTCCAGCTGTCAGGTGTGTTGGTGTAACATAATGATTTGTACATCAGCTAAGGAGCCCCAGACTACATAAACATTGTATGGAACACCTTGTATAGCAGCTGTCTAGAGAGATAGGAGAGAGAGAGCTAGGTAGGGACCATTCAGATTGAGAACAGCCGAGTGCTAGCTAGGCCATGACCTAAATATGGTGGACCTACATGAAAGGAAGAACGCTTACCAGTAATCCTGTAATGGTCTCTCCGCCTTTCACACGCTTCTCCACCCGTCGTCCCTGCTGGGGCACTAATTAAATCTCGGCTCAATTCAACCGGTTGAGGGACAACGCATGGGGAGCTGTGTGAGAGGCGGAGAGAGTCTGAGACCATTACAGGATTAAGCAGTCTTCCTTTCATGTAGGTCCGCCATATTTAGGTCGTGGCCTTGTTAGCACTCGGCTCTTCTCAATCTGAATGGGGCCATAGATGCTAGCTAGAGAGAGAGAGACAGAGAGAGAGAGAGAGAGAGAAAAGATAGCTAGAGAGAGAGAAGAGAGGGAGAGATAGAGAGAGCTAGATAGATAGAGAGAGAGGGGAGCTAGAGCAGTAACCTGACTGAGGTAGTTCAACCTCCTCAATAGCTACAAGAACAGATGCAAAAGTTAAATATGTGACATTATTTTCATTTTTTTAACCAAGGGTTTGGTCATATATTTTGGCTTTTAGTGCTTATTCTTCATTTGTCTCTATATGTGAAAACAAACAGTTTCTCTACACACTGGCAACATAACAGCTGTTTCCATTTTTTAAACATTTACTTTAGTTATCTTTCTTTTTTATTTTGCAATAAAAAGGTCTGTGGACACAGAGTTGTAGCCTTAATTAACATGGGACAAAAAATGGTCCTACAGCTTTCCATTCCACACCCAGTAATATTGTGCACCCTGAGTTATAGAGGAAATAGTTCTACAGCTTTCCATTCCACACCCAGTGATATTGTACACCCTGAGTATCACATATATACATCTATTGTCAGAAAGTAGACCACTGTATAACCTGGATATATGTATATGACTCTACTTGTCAGGGTGTGCAGCCTCAGTTATAGTAACTGGCCCCTCCTTCAATGACCTAGGATTTATACCTATACTGTCTGGCTGTGTAATGAACTAATGAACAGTGACCACTATCAAGTCAAAACACACATTCAGATCAATTAATGTGGCTAAAAGCAGGCATTATGGTGTAGTATTTCCTAACATACTCTGCTGGTTGGTTTAATGGTATTTTCAGTGGTAGTCATAAATCTCATTAAGGATTGGACTGTGTCTGCCTACTGAACTAGTACATGAATGTACTGTTACTGTGAATGAAGGTTATTGCCTTTGCTTGAAAATTAAACACTTAGGCTGTATTCCAAGAGCTTTTAGATCGATCTATCCCCGCGGGGAGTCTCACTAGATTACTGTCAGATAATCCGGCTAAAATGTCCGTCCCGCCTACTACAAGCTGTAAGGGGGTAATTAACTTTCGTGTCTGCTCGGCTGACAGCTATTTAGCATGAACCCCCAGGGATTTAGGTCGATCTAAAGTAGATCGATCTAATCTCTGGAAATGGGGTCTTAGAGTGCCCTATCTATTACACTCTTTTGCATGTATTGTCACTTAAACCCCCTTTACACTGGACNAGGTAAAATCAAGATTCGGTCGTTCAAAGGACGCACAAGGGACGCAGACGCCTTTACACTGAGACATGATTTAATTGCTTTGGCGATCGTTGAGCGTCCTGACCACATTTTTGAACGCAGAAGGGACGCAGAAAGGACGCCGTCCAGTGTAAAGGGGCCCTTAAACTTTATGCATGTGCGTGTATATATTTGTGTATGTATGCTAGAGATGTTATATTGAGGACTAAACACACAGACATACAGCCAGAATAAGTGCACATATATACTTACATAATTCATTACTACTACACACACATACATACAAATACATATGCAAACATACATATAAATACACCAAGCATTCACACACATATGTGCATGCATACATACATACATACATATATACTTCATACTAACACATACATTAGTATTCAGGATAAGTGCAATATATATATATATGCATGCACACACGCACAAGCATACACATACTCCATACTAGCATGCATGCACACACATATACATGCACACACACACACACACTTTAGTGTTCAGGATAAGTGCAATATGTATGTTCCAGGTGACAGATGGCCCTTATAGCTGGTCATTATATCTGGTTATTATCTGGTCATTATCATGCCATTTGTTCCAATAGTGTGCTGTACTACTACTAGTACTGTGTATTAAGCCAAACAATAACACTGAACATAATTTATATATATATATTAACTATGCTTAAGTTCAAAGTAAATGAAAAAATTGCCCTTTTTTTCCATGGAATTGCTCTAGCATTATTCCAACAAAAATTTACTACTTATCACTGATTAAGATGGTAAGAGGAGAAAACTTTGTTACAAAAATTTTAAACCTAAACTGCCTGCCTCACTACATGTAGGAACTGTCCTCATCTTACACCTGAGGACAGCTTCCTAGTGAGTTCCTGTTAAACTGGGAGTGTGTGGACAATAGTTTTCGTTCTTCTACTGGCAACAATAGTTCATTTATCTAATATATACATGTGGTCTTTTCATTGGTAAGATGCTCTCAGACCAATACTGCCAGATGGACTTCACAGTAGTCAGCAGTCTACTAGTACTAGTACGCAAGCTCCATGATTGCAGGAAAAGAATCATTGACAGATCTACAACCATCAATGTCCTCATTATCTGCTTCTTGAGGTGTTAACAGGGATATTTGTCAGGTAATCAAGACTGTTGACATTTACTGTCCAGGTGAGCAGACAGTGTTAACACCTGGTCTGAGTGACAGCTCACCTGGCCTCTGCTACCTAACGCTACCTGAAGCTACCTGAAGCTGCCAGCCACAGTCTATTACTAAGCATGAATCTGTGATGTCTGGACCAGAGCTTGGATGCTGTAGTGCCTCTTTATATCTAGTGTAAAATTCTACAATACTTCTTACTACTACTAGTACTAATCCAAGATCTACATCATTTCAAAAATATCTAATTTTTGATGTAAGTGTAACAGCTCATTATCAAAACATTGGATCTAAGATTTCATTTATTTTAACCAATCTACATTTTGCCTGTAAGTGTGTTATGTAGATTTCAGATTTTTTCTCTATTTAAACTGATATATTCACCAAATAATATCCTGCTCTCTAATTAATCCTACATACATAATAAACCTCTCAAACAGATGATAGTTTCCATAAAACAACCTTAAATGATCTGCTTATACTACTGGCAGTGTTGTCTCTCAAGTCTATCCAACATCACTATTGATCTGGCCTTCATCAGCAGATTAAAACACCACATGCCCCCATTTCTTTGATCTTTTTGCCTAAATTTTCTCTAAAAAATATATTTTTATTTCTATGTTTAGACTGGCTAATTACCAAAAAGGACTAACAATTATTAATATGTATTATCTGACAGTCATATCCAAACTTAATCATCAGACAGCTGTGAGAAAAGTAGATCTATGCCTCCAGGAGAATGGCTGGGAAACTGGTAACCCTACCATAATTCTTATGCAGCGCAAGGCAAATCAAATCAAATGTGTTGGATACAGCTATTCCAGACATGGCAGTCACTGATCAATGCCAAGCTTAGCCATAATGGAATAGAACAAAAATAAAATTATCCAGACCCTTGAAGACCTGTCTATAATACAGACATGCTGAAACTGTCCGTCCGAGCGGTCATGACCGGGAAATTTTGTCTGGACCAGTAAAAAATTGGACTTGGTCAGTCCAAAAGACCGACAAGAGTTTTAAGAACCACAATTTTGAATTTGCATTCGTCATTCGATATATTTCACCAATAAAATTATATAAAACCCAAAGCATTTTTCCCCTCCATTTCAAACCTATCACATCCACAAACAAAGTAAGCTACCTAATCATACTGGTGATATGTCTCAAACGAATAGGGTGATTTTCGGTCCGACAAAAATTCATTTGGTCTGGCAAATTTTTTCATTACTGCCGGTCCAAATGTCCGGCCATTCTGAAAAGTTTTCAGCACGTCTGTAATATTAACTGGTGAACTTCTATACAAAGGGTCTCAATAATCTATTATTGTGTTTTGTTCTTATAAAATTGGACAACAGGTAAAAAAACATCCAAATGTTCAATCATTATGCTACACTATAGCATTCCACCTGCAATTTATGTATCCTCCAGGCCTACCCAGACGCGACACCGCTCTTGCCTAGTATGCGATGTGATAGTGATGATTCTCAGCGGGGTTGAAAAGCATTGCATCACCACTCAAAATTTGTTCAGGGTATGATACTGTATAATGCGATCTGATACACACCTTGAAAATGGGTAGTGTGGTCTGATCTACCGGTGAATTCTGGATCATTCGGTGCTGAGTCTGGTAGTTGGATAGACCTGATCCTCTATCCCCATCCATTTCTGGGGAGTTATGATTTGATCTCTCTACCACTTCTACTGTTATGTCATAATTTGATCACTCTACCACTTCTACTGTTATATATCCTCTATCCCCATCCATTTCTGGGGGGTCATGATTTGATCACTCTTTCTAATGTATAATGATGATGTGACATGCAATTTTTAATCACATCTACAACACATTTCTAGCATCATAGCTGACACAATTTCCGTGTCTCACCTAACACACTGACAGTCTGTACTCACCAGACTCAGTGTTTCCAGCTGTCCAAGCCAAGCTCCCAACTCATCCTCCTGCCCTTCCACATCACTGTCATCACTGGTACTCTCCATTGAGGGATCTGAAAGTAAAATCAGGGTACTTGACACAACCAGATAACAATCCACTGTCACAGCTAACACAATCAGTCACCACACCTAACACACTGTCACAGCAAACAGTAACACAATCAGTCACCATATCTAATACATTGTCACAGCTAACACAATCAGTCACCACACCTAACACACTGTCACAGCTTACACAATCAGTCACCACACCTAAAACACTGTCACAGCTTACACAATCAGTCACCACACCTAACACACTGTCACAGCTAACACAATCAGTCATCATATCTAACACACTGTCACAGCTAACACAATCAGTGAGTCACCACATCTAACACACTGTCACAGCTAACACAATCAGTCACTACACAGGCAGCTTACAAACTACTTACCAAATTTGATTCTTTTTGGGGCCAATAAAAAGGAAGAAATATTTCTAGAAATTGATCCAGGAAGCTTCCTTGTTGATACATCATATTCTTTTATATAACTGAACAGGGAACTTATAAAGTATTTCAGAAAAAAAAAGTATCTTTCACATCTCCTGCCAGATATATCCTGTGCATTAACTCTCTGTGCCAGAAATCTTCCTGATAAAAATGCATCCTGAATATCATGTAACAATACTGATGATGGCAAGTACAAATTCATTTATCATCTCTCATTTAGCATGAGACAAGAATCAATATCTTGGTTCTATACGAGTCCATATGTGAATCTCTGTCAAAGATAGGTATACCAGTACATGTTACACTGAAACTTGAATTTTTTTTAACTTTAAAAAATGAGCTGAAAGTTTCACCCTTGTAAAATTCAACATGTTTACAAAGTCCTAAAATGTACTATTACTCTCTATTTTGTTCAATTATCTTTTATCTATAGCTGGACGCTTTATCTACAGCAGGACTGCTATCACCAAACCAAATGTTGTCAGTTGAACAAAATATTTACAATACACCATGCTCAACTGAGCCTGAGACAAGTATGTACTCAAAGAAGGAGAAAAAGAAAAAAGTTTGTAATCTTCATTACCCTTCAATTTAATTTAACCCCAATGTGATATTCCATGCACCCAGGATATGTGCCTTATTCAGGCTAAAGTGTAGCAGGAATGCTATGCTGCCTGTGAAGACAAAGGTCTATTATAAATATTGACAAAATGATCAATCAGTCTCCCACATGTGCAGACATCATACCATGCCTCACTGTGCTGGCTATAGACCAGATAGATGTACTATAGTCTATATACACAGAATATGTGAAGACTGTTCTACTTGGATTCACTGTGCTGGCTATAGACAGAGAGAGTGTACTATAGTCTATATACACAGAATATGTGAAGACTGTTCTACTTGGATTCACTGTGCTGGCTATAGAACAGATAGAGTGTACTATAGTCTATATACACAGAATATGTGAAGACTGTTCTACTTGGATTCACTGTGCTGTCTATAGACAGATAGAGTGTACTATAGTCTATATGTACACAGAATATGTGAAGACAGTTCTACTTGGATTTACTGTGCTGGCTATAGGCCAGAGAGAGTGTACTATAGTCTATATACACAGAATATGTGAAGACTGTTCTACTTGGATTCACTGTGCTGGCTATAGACAGATAGAGTGTACTATAGTCTATATACACAGAATATGTGAAGACTGTTCTACTTGGATTCACTGTGCTATCTATAGACAGATAGAGTGTACTATAGTCTATATGTACACAGAATATGTGAAGACAGTTCTACTTGGATTTACTGTGCTGGCTATAGACCAGAGAGAGTGTACTATAGTCTATATACACACAATATGTGAAGACTGTTCTACTTGGATTCACTGTGCTGGCTATAGACAGATAGAGTGTACTATAGTCTATATACACAGAATATGTGAAGACTGTTCTACTTGGATTCACTGTGCTGGCTATAGACAGATAGAGTATACTATAGTCTATATGTACAGAGGATGTTAAGAGTCTCGGTGACATGTATACCTTAATTGCTCGATACTTCTAATAAGGGGGGAAAAATGTTAAAATTACAGATATGTCATAATTTCTTACAATTATATCAGTCCCATGAGTAGTAACAACAAAATTAAAAAGCAGGCTACGATATAGTTCTATTCGATGCAATGGATGCACTAAAAATGCCAAATAGAAATATAATTTTTGTGACTATTAAATTATGTATCCGAAAGTTTTTTTTTTTTTTAATTTGAAAAGATCAAGTAATTACTGATGTAGATTTAAACCAAATGGGAAATATATTTGGACTGGGTAGGGCAAAATGTAAAATATTTCAACCATTTTGCCAATAATATCAGTAATTTTGTTCATCTTTCTGTTCTGAAATAAGTTTTGTTTTCCTAGTGGATAAATAAATAGTGGGTAAAAAGGGTTGTATGTGAACATGGCTATGCACCCAATCAAATGTATTTTGGTTAAACGAAAAGAAAAAAAAAATTAAATATCTGAAATGGTAGCAAAATAATTGCATGTGCACATTGCTTATTAGAAGTGCAAAATAAAGGTCAATGTGGATAATCATATTATGTTGTGACAGGCATTTTCAAGGGTCAATAAAGAGGTGAACATACTATGGTGATAGTTTATCCAATATTGATCAGCTTACAGTTTATTCTAATTCAGCACAGTGATACCGGCATTTTGCGGTGATTTCTTCAATGAAATCACCATAAACTGGATGTACAGATAATAACAAAATGCTCTTAAAAGCTCTACTAAAATTATTCATATTACTCTGTTCTTTCCATTTTCACGTAAAGAAAAAACAGAATTCTGAGATACGCACTTCCCTTGCGAACACTGAGACGCTACTCTTCATATGACTTCAGTTCAAATAAAGTATTATAAAAGTGAGCGTTTATCAGCCGGCAGACGATACCTTCCATTTAGAGTAAACTATCACACAACCCGCTGAGCTACAGACTCCGCGGCCAGGCAGACGATAACACCGACATCTGACGAATCGGCATTTTCTATGCAATATTCTGAACTAGACACTAGACTAGGATTATTTAGAAGGAAATTCAGTTCATCTACGCTCCAAATTAGTAAAAACACAAAATTCATATAATCGTTGTGAGAAATAATACTCACCCGAATTAAACTATCCACGAAAAGAGTCTATATATCCTGTATTCTGAAAATTTCATGATTTAATTCGAGAGGAGATAAGAGTGTTTCCTGAGAGAGAAGATGATTCATCTCTACTTCCGGTTGCTTCTGTTCTCCGCAGTGAATGGAACTCTGACCTCTGATTGTCTGCATTGTGTTAGCTGTGATCACAGACACTTGGCACATCCGATGCGCAATTAAGAAGAGCACTCCTTAGTGACTGTCTCCTTAGATTTCTGCGTAATTGTCACTGTTGTCAGATAAATTACCATCTCTATTTGAAAACATTTTAAGACAAAGGTCGTGTGATTTTTAAAAGTCAAGTGAAAATAGGGAGTGTTCAGATAAACCCAACATTCTAGCTGGATCTATATCCAACCCAGCTGGAGATTGTACGGTAGATCCTAAGCGCAGTCACTATAACCAAGGAGTTATAACAATTATAACTCCTTGCTATGACTGACTTCAATGTCTGACACGTCTCCTCGAGCTCTAGGGTGTAGTTAAGTAATTAAGTACTCAAGGAGGCGTGTCGGAAACACTTCACGAGAGTCCGCCGCGCGGAGTTGGATCGATCTAGCTGGTACAATGTTTGAATCTGAATGTGGTCATAGTAACTCAGTTGACATTTTGCATAAAAAATTTTTACACACTATTTCAGACAAAGTTATAAAAGGACCAATTAAATAAGCAAAATACATAAAATAATTTTAAAACTATAAAAACAGGGAAAATGAGGTTTTGCTTTTCTGTGAAAATCAGAAATTGACCAAAAGTATGAGCAAAATAGGCCCTGCATCACTATATTTTAGTAAGTTTATTCTATATTTCTATTTTATTCTTGGATGGATATGGCCAAATATATTTGGTACACATCTGAGAGAATTAATGTGAATAAAGATCGAGGACCACACTTGAATTTATAATATAGAAGTTTCATAAATCAATAGAAATGTTTTACACAAAGACTGAAAAAATATGGACACTGAATATTTGTTACAAAATTTTTAATTTACACAAGAAAATATTTATAATTATTTGATCTCATTGAATCCAGCTTCTAAATTCATGCATAATCAAGATACACAGCTTTTTTTCTTTTAATAAGGATGCGAGACTTCAAAGCTTCTCAGCTTCTGGACGGTACAAAATTGTTTAAAAAATCAATTTTTGTCTTTTAAATCTGTTAAGCAACGTTACATGTTTAAAGGTCAATTACTGAATATAAAATAGGAAGCTTAGGGACAATATATACCGAACGTGGTGATTAAGGTTGTGTTAAAAAAGCCGATACAGGTATATCGCATTATGTGACTTCTTTAAAATAAAATAAAAAAGGGAAGAAAAAAAGAAATCCCTTTCGCTTTCGGTTTATAATGTGGGCTAACGTACCGAAAATGAGGCCAAATTATGGAGAGTCCTTTTATTTTTACCGGTCTTCCCACAATGCATTGCGAAACAACATGGTGAGCGTGCGTACTGCATTGAGTGAAGTCTTGATTATGTTAGGGTGCATTTTTAAATGGTTCGAGCTTCGATTTATTTAGTTAATATCTTAAATACGTCTTTACATTTTCTGCATCACTATGAAATAAGTCTGTTGTTATTTTTTTGTGCTAGAAACTTGTATTTGTACAGTTTACCATCGCCATTGGAAGTTGTCAACACTCGTAAGTTCGCAACAGTAGACTTGGCGTTGAAATTTAGGGTATATTGGTTTAAATTTGTTTGATGATAACGTGTTTGATGTTTGCCTTACTCTGTTTAACTCCAGGATCAAGGACAAGGTCCTCCTCCAATGATGAGGCCTCCTTTTGGGGTGAGTTCTTTTGTTACAATTTTCCACGAAAAGGTTTAAAGATGATTGTGTCAAATTCTAAATATTTGTGTCATTCGAAGATATTATTATAGTTTTCAGAAAAGTTCATCTTTCTTTTCTGTTAAATTTTCATTTTCTGAAATCATCAAAGTATTTTCAATTTGGTCCTGTATTGGGTCTTGATGAGTGACCTCTGTTGTTGATATGACTCATTTGTTTGAATAATTAATGTACTGTACTTTATTGCTGAATAAATTTGCAGTACTATATTTGGTTAAACATTTCCTATTTGTTATTTTGCTAAATATTTTGCAAATGTTCCTATTGAAGCCATTCTTTTCAGTTCTCTTGGCTTTCTCTCAGATGAATGTTGTTTATTTTTTTTACCAAAAATTAAATTATGTTCACAGAAAAACAATTAATCAGAAAGCAGCGAAATGTTTCCTATATCCCTATCCAGAATTAAAAACGTTTATTATCTTACAGAGAGTGGGTTCTGTTAATTTATTATAAATTGACCAAGTACAAAAACTGGCTGTTTTCTATTTCAGATGCCTCCTCCTGGACAAGGTCCCCCAGGGTCAGGATACCCAGGGATGCCCCCTATGGGGGGTCCTAACCCCCAGGGCTATTTGCCTCCAGGTATGTTGCTCCTCTGTATATTATAACTGAATGCTAAAGTGCTCAACTTAAGATTTCTCCACAAAAAAATAATACCTAAAGGGGATTTTCCTGGGAATAACAATATTTTCTCCAACTAACCAAAATTTGCCTCCCCTTTCCTGACACTCGCCATAATTCTGTAAAAATCTGGGAAGTTGATAAATATGTATTTTTAAAATTAATAAATGCATGTTTAAGACCTTATACTTTGTCAGTCTCAGTCTAAGAATATTCAGTTTGGCTGATTAAAGTTGCTTAATCTCTGAAAATGTCTAGAAATTGCTTTTTATGTACAGACGCAGTCTGTACGTAAAGTCGTCATTTCTTTTAAAGTTTATTACTTACCATATATTAGTCTTAAGATGTTTTCAGGGACAATTGAAGAATAAATACACAAAGGTGTATATTCCAGTAGGTATTAGTTAACAAAGTGTTAATCACTTATTAGTACTATAATTTCTTTTCGGTGACAAGTTTTTCTCAAGTTGTAGTAAGTCCTTGTAAATAGACAGGATGTTTTTACTGTGTATTTTTTTACTGTATTTTTTTGTAACTCCAGGCTACGGAGGTCCTCCCGGCGGTATGCCACCCCCAGGGTACCCAGCCAACATGCCACCCCCTAATTTTTCTGCCCCACCCACTTCAGGTATGTCAGCTAAATAATAGTATAATATATATTATATCAGTTTTGAAAATACCCATTTTGTTTCAATTTATATTAAAACCATAAAGGGATAAATCTTTACAAAAGCAAGCAATGTTTGCTTGGTACTTTTATGATATCATTGTCAGATCATATGGTAAGTCAAAATCTAAGACTTGTCCATTATATTCTTATACTTAAGTTATTGAAATTTCTTCTCTTTCCCAATTTTAAAAGGTTTAGAAAGGCTATGAGTGTGGGATTATGATAATATTGTACTTTTTATTTTTTTCTAATGAGACATTTGACAATAATTTTGCATCATTAGTGTCATTGTTATCCTGTGTTTTCATGTGTTTTAGGTGGTGCCAATAACTCTGCTGTCATATCAGCTCCGCCCACTAATACAGCTGGACAGCCACAGACTGGAGGTAAGTCAATCATTTTAGCACTTATACAGCTGGACAACTGTAGACTGGAGGTAAGTTAATCATCTTAGCTCTGCCCACTAATACAACTGGACAACTGTAGGCTAGAGGTAAGTTAATCATCTTAGCTCTGCCTACTAATACAACTGGACAACTGTAGGCTAGAGGTAAGTTAATCATCTTAGCTCTGCCTACTAATACAACCGGACAACTGTGGGCTAGAGGTAAGTTAATCATCTTAGCTCTGCCCACTAATACAGCTGGACAACCATGCTCTGCCTACTGACTGGTCATTCATATAGTAGTAATCTTGCCCAGTGGACCTAAGATTCTGATCTGAGAGATCATGTCAGGAAACTTAACAAGTTCACTTGAAGATGATATTTTGTTTTATATCAGGTTTCCAGACCATGCCCCAACAGATGGCGACACAGTCTTCACTTCCTGTGGAGATGTCACCTGCAGGTACTCTGGCAGAGAGTGGACCCATGCCACCAAAGGTACACACCAGTCTTAATGCACTCATTGTTATTTATAGCAAAGGTTAAATGGATGTGTTAAAGAAAGCTCCTTGTTTGCTAGTTGTTCCCAGATAATGTAATTATTGTGAAGCTGTTTTAAAGGTTATGCTGTTACAAAAGTATCAAAAGATGATGAGAACTATCCCCCTTAGCTAATGAAGGTGGAAGTTGTTATAAATGGTAAAATGTAAGACAATATAATTTTTATATTTCAGAAATCCAGTTGGACAGAACACAAGAAGGATGGTGTTATAAATGGTAAAATGTAAGACAGTATAATTTTTATATTTCAGAAATCCAGTTGGACAGAGCACAAGAAGGATGGTGTTATAAATGGTAAAATGTAAGACAGTATAATTTGTATATTTCAGAAATCCAATTGGACAGAACACAAGGCTCCAGATGGAAGGACATATTTTTATAATGCCACCACGAAGCAATCTTCCTGGGAAAAACCAGATGAACTGAAGACACCTGCTGAGGTGAACTACCTCTCTCAGTTTGTGGCTCTAGAAATAACAATCCATCTAAAAATGGCCTTTGAGATCTAATCCATTAAATTTTCTGAAGGCTGAATTTTTATGTACAGACACAGATGTGTCTGTACATATAGCCATCATCTGCGTCTGTCGTCGCCGTCGCTGTCGTCGCCGTCGCCGTGCACTTTTACCGATAACACGATAAGTGGAAAACTGTTTTTTCTTTTGGCTTGAAACCTACAGAACTGATGAATATTCGTAATACGGAGGTCAAGTTCGAAAATCAGCATGATCGGGTCACTTATAGGGAATTTATGCTGTTTTTTCACTTTTTTCAGCATATATGCAGCACCGATAACATGATAAGTGNCCCCCTCCCACACCCTCCCCTCTCGGGGGCTTCGCCCTCTCGTGTCCGCTTACTGCCCCCCCTGGCATTTTGCTCAGGCTACGGCCCTGGCTTCTGGACGGTACAAAAAATCAATTTCCCTGGTTTAAAAAATCAATTTTTGTCTTTTAAATCTGTTAAGCAACGTTACATGTTTAAAGGTCAATTACTGAATATAAAATAGGAAGCTTAGGGACAATATATACCGAACGTGGTGATTAAGGTTGTGTTAAAAAAGCCGATCCAGGTATATCGCATTATGTGACTTCTTTAAAATAAAATAAAAAAGGGAAGAAAAAAAGAAATCCCTTTCGCTTTCGGTTTATAATGTGGGCTAACGTACCGAAAATGAGGCCAAATTATGGAGAGTCCTTTTATTTTTACCGGTCTTCCCACAATGCATTGCGAAACAACATGGTGAGCGTGCGTACTGCATTGAGTGAAGTCTTGATTATGTTAGGGTGCATTTTTAAATGGTTCAAGCTTCGATTTATTTAGTTAATATCTTAAATACGTCTTTACATTTTCTGCATCACTATGAAATAAGTCTGTTGTTATTTTTTTGTGCTAGAAACTTGTATTTGTACAGTTTACCATCGCCATTGGAAGTTGTCAACACTCGCAAGTTCGCAACAGTAGACTTGGCGTTGAAATTTAGGGTATATTGGTTTAAATTTGTTTGATGATAACGTGTTTGATGTTTGCCTTACTCTGTTTAACTCCAGGATCAAGGACAAGGTCCTCCTCCAATGATGAGGCCTCCTTTTGGGGTGAGTTCTTTTGTTACAATTTTCCACGAAAAGGTTTAAAGATGATTGTGTCAAATTCTAAATATTTGTGTCATTCGAAGATATTATTATAGTTTTCAGAAAAGTTCATCTTTCTTTTCTGTTAAATTTTCATTTTCTGAAATCATCAAAGTATTTTCAATTTGGTCCTGTATTGGGTCTTGATGAGTGACCTCTGTTGTTGATATGACTCATTTGTTTGAATAATTAATGTACTTTATTGCTGAATAAATTTGCAGTACTATATTTGGTTATACATTTCCTATGTGTTATTTTGCGAAATATTTTGCAAATGTTCCTATTGAAGCCATTCTTTTCAGTTCTCTTGGCTTTCTCTCAGATGAATGTTGTTTATTTTTTTACCAAAAATTAAATTATGTTCACAGAAAACAATTAATCAGAAAGCAGCAAAATGTTTCCTATTTTCCTATCCAGAATTAAAAAGGTTTATTATCTTACAGAGAGTGGGTTCTATTAATTTATTATAAATTGACCAAGTATAAAAACTGGCTGTTTTCTATTTCAGATGCCTCCTCCTGGACAAGGTCCTCCAGGGTCAGGATACCCAGGGATGCCCCCTATGGGGGGTCCTAACCCCCAGGGCTATATGCCTCCAGGTATGTTGCTCCTCTGTATATTATAACAGATTTTTAGAGTGCTCAACTTAAGATTTCTCCACAAAAAATTAATACCTAAAGGGGATTTTCCTGAAAATAGCAACATTTTCTCCAACTAACCAAAATTTACCTCCCCTTTCCTGACACTCGCCATAATTCTGTAACAATCTGGGAAGTTGATTAATATGTAATTTTAAAATTAATAAATGCGTGTTTATGACCTTATACTTTGTCAGTCTCAGTCTAAGAATATTCAGTTTGGCTAATTAAAGTTGCTTAATCTCTGAAAATATCTAGAAATTGCTTTTTATGTACAGACGCAGTCTGTACGTATAGTCGTCATTTCTTTTAAAGTTTATTACTTACCATATATTAGTCTTAAGATGTTTTCAGGGACAATTGAAGAATAAATAAACAAAGGTGTATATTCCAGTAGGTATTAGTTAACAAAGTGTAAATCACTTATTAGTACTATAATTTCTTTTCGGTGACAAGTTTTTCTCAAGTTGTAGTAAGTCCTTGTAAATAGACAGTTTTTTTTATTGTGTATTTTTTTACTGTATTTTTTTTTTTTTTTTGTAACTCCAGGTTACGGAGGTCCTCCCGGCGGTATGCCACCCCCAGGGTACCCAGCCAATATGCCACCCCCTAATTTTTCTGCCCCACCCACTTCAGGTATGTCAGCTAAATAATAATATAATGTCAGTTTTGTTTCAATTTATATTAAAACCATAAAGGGATAAAATTTTACTAAAGCAAGCAATGTTTGCTTGGTACTTTTATGATATCATTGTCAGACCATATGGTAAGTCAAAATCTAAGACTTGTCCATTATATTCTTATACTTAAGTTATTGAAATTTCTTCTCCTTCCCAATTTCAAAAGGTTTAGAAAGGCTGTGAGTGTGGGATTATGATAATATTGTACTTTTTATTTTTTTTCTAATGAGACATTTGACAATAATTTTGCATCATTAGTGTCATTGTTATCCTGTGTTTTCATGTGTTTAAGGAGGGGCCAATAACTCTGCTGTCATATCAGCTCCGCCCACTAATACAGCTGGACAGCCACAGACTGGAGGTAAGTTAATCATCTTAGCCCCGCCCACTAATACAGCTGGACAACTGTAGACTGGAGGTAAGTTAATCATCTTAGCACCTCCCACTAATACAGCTGGACAGCCACAGACTGGAGGTAAGTCAATCATCTTAGCTCCGCCCACTAATACAGCTGGACAGCCACAGACTGGAGGTAAGTTAATCATCTTAGCTCCGCCCACTAATACAGCTGGACAACTGTAGACTGGAGGTAAGTTAATCATCTTAGCACCTCCCACTAATACAGCTGGACAGCCACAGACTGGAGGTAAGTCAATCATCTTAGCCCCGCCCACTAATACAGCTGGACTTTGTAACTCGAAAGCATTGTGTACTGCAAATAGCAATATCACACAGAGGCTACAATATATCATGTGGCGCGAGTGTGGGCAAGTTATGGAATCAAGACGCCCGGCTGGGTCGCAATGCGCGATGCTTTCAAGTTACGGGGCCCTGGACAACTGTAGACTGGAGGTAAGTTAATCATCTTAGCACCGCCAACTAATACAGCTGGACAACCATGCTCTGCCTACTGACTGGTCATTCAGATAGTAGTAATCTTGCCCAGTGGAGCTAAGCTTCTGATCTGAGAGATCATATCAGGAAACTTAACAAGTTCACTTGAAGATGATTGTGAAATCGTTGAGACATTGGAGAGTTTATGTTACTCATGCTTTATTTTAAATGTTCAGTTCAGTAACCATTCACATCGCTTATGTCAGTACAGTAAATGGACTAGTCAGCAGGTCAGCATGTCAGCATGACAGCAAGCAAGCAAGGTACATAATCTAGGAAAGAAAACAATAAATAAATAAAATGAATAAATACATAAAGAAATAAATAAATACAGGAAACTATAATTTACTAGATATATTGAACATTACATTACATTAAATCGGTTATATATAGCGAGACTTGAAATTTGCTATATCTATACAATGAACACAAATGATATGAAGTTTACCTTATAATGCAATAATCATAATTAAAACATTATATACTGAATTACAGGAAGGGTTTACAGTTGATAATTAAACCAATGCATTCTCATATTTACCATTTATCGTATTTCATATTAATGGCCACACCCTATCAGGTGCTCTATCTTATATACCTATTTTTTCACCTTTATAATTTATACAGAAAACTTACAAATACACTATGCAAACACATTTGATAGTATAAACACTTACATTATGATTTCTCCCTTTGAACTGGTACAATACACTTTACTACGTTGGGAAATACGGTTAACTGCAGGAGAGACCCTTCTTGTACAGATTCTTTAGCGTTATGACTCAGTAACATTCAAATAAGCGCGCTACTCACGCAAGTAATGAAAACTACTCACAACTGTTATAGCTAAAACAAGGAATCTGTACTTACACCTTGTTTATATAAAACAGGGAATCTGGCACTTACAATGATATTTTGTTTTATATCAGGTTTCCAGACCATGCCCCAACAGATGGCAACACAGTCTTCACTTCCTGTGGAGATGTCACCTGCAGGTACTCTGGCAGAGAGTGGACCCATGCCACCAAAGGTACACACCAGTCTTAATGCACTCATTGTTATTTATAGCAAAGGTTAAATGGATGTGTTAAAGAAAGCTCTTTGTTTGCTTGTTGTTCCCAGATAATGTAATTATTGTGAAGCTGTTTTAAGGGCTATATGCTGTTACAAAAGCATCAAAAGATGATGAGAACTATCCCCCTTAGCTTGGACTTGTGAAGATGGAAGTTGTTATAAATGGTAAAATATAAGACAGTATAATTTTTATATTTCAGAAATCCAATTGGACAGAACACAAGGCTCCAGATGGAAGGACATATTTTTATAATGCCACCACGAAGCAATCTTCCTGGGAAAAACCAGATGAACTGAAGACACCTGCTGAGGTGAACTACCGCTCTCAGTTTGTGGCTCTAGAAAAAACAATCCATGTAAAAATGGCCTTTGAGATCTAATCCATTAAATCTGAAGGCTGAATTTTTCATTTTTTGCCCTGTATTCTGAAAAAAAAACATTTTGAAAGTTGCTGATCATGTCAAGGAAAGGACAAATATTCATACAGTAAATAACAAAAATCAAACAATAGAAAAAATCAACCCAAGGAAGACAGCAGCAAGGTTTATTTCCATAACAGATATAATTGTAAAAACCTATATCTGGGAGATATCACAATATTTATTGTATTACAGCTGCTGTACTCCAAGTGTCCATGGAAGGAACACAAAGCAGACAGTGGCAAGGTATATTTCCATAACAGCCAGAACAAGGAGTCCAGGTGGACCAAACCTAAAGAACTTGAGGACATTGAGTGTAAGGATGACTGTCAGCTGAAATCAACCCTTCCTGATTTTTATGTACAGACACAGATGTGTCTGTACATATAGCCGTCATCTGCGTCTGTCGTCGCCGTCGCCGTGCACTTTTACCGATAACACGATAAGTAGAAAACTGTTTTTTCTTTTTGTTTGAAACTTACAGAACTGATGAATATTCATAATACGCAGGTCGAGTTCGAAAATCAGCATGATCGGGTCACTTATAGGGAATTTATGCTGTTTTTTCACTTTTTTCAGCATATATGCAGCACCGATAACACGATAAGTGGAAAACCATTTTACTTTTTGGCTTGAAACTTACAGAACTGATGAATATACTTAATACGCAGGTCAAGTTCGAAAATCAGCGTGATTGGGTCATTTTTAGTGAATTTAGGCTATTTTTTC